ACCTTAAATACGGTCAGAAGGATTTGGACTTCATCGAAGAATTTAATCGTAAGTACGTGATGAACAACCCTTTGGTGATTTATACGGATGGATCACGGTCAGAGATGTCCAATGCTACGGGTTCGGGAATAGTGTTCGAGGAGCGGAATGAGGCGTTCTATGTGAGTCTCCCTAGTCATAGCTCTTCATTTACAGCAGAAGCTTTCGCGGTCAAGGCGGCCCTAGAAAAAGTGGAGTATGAGAAGGCACAAGGAAAGAATATTGGCAACAGCATTTTAATTTTATCAGATTGTCAAAGCGTGTTAAAGGCTATTAAGAATAATAGGCTTGATGTGTATAAAAATCGGTACATATTAGATATTAGAAGACGTCATTTTAAACTTAAAAGGGAGTATGGATTAACAATTGTATTCGGATGGATACCGGCACACTGTGGATATGTAGGCAACGAGGCGGCTGACCTGATGGCAAGAATTGGTGCGCAGGGTGAGGCAGACGAGAGCATAGAGGTTCCTATATTGGATTATCGCAGTTTATTCAAGCAGGAGTCGTGGCAGCGAACCCAGGAGGTTATAGTCAGAGAAAGTGGATACAAGGGCAAAGTTTACTTTAACTATTTTTATGACAAAAATAAGAAAAAACCTTGGTTCCAGAAAATCAAAGCTGACAGGTATTTTTACTCGTTCGTAAATAGAATTCAAGCCAATCATTACAATTTAGGAGAGTCATTGGCAAGAAAAGGTTTTATCGATTCGTCGGAATGTGAATGTGGGCACGAGAAGGAGGATATCAATCACGTGATCTGGCAGTGCAGTATATACGACCGACAGAGGGAGAGAATGGGCGAGGAGTTGGTGAAGCGCGGCATAGCGGGAACCGAGGCTATTGAGGTTATAATACAGCGAGAAGACTGGTTCAAGCTTGGAGTGATTTACAACTTTGTAAAAAAAATTAACAGAATTATTTAGTTCTTCAATATATGCGTCACATAGTCCAAAGGCAGGACTGAAGGCGTCTACGCTCCTGACCCGATAGGAGCAACACACAAAAAAAAAATGAGACCTGAGAGAGGCTATCCCGGCTTTTTTCGTGGGGACGCATCATCGACATATAGTATGGACTGCGCACAGGTATAGAAAAGTATGACCGGCGACTCACACCGGTGGAAGAAAAGAGATAGCGACTGGTAGAGGTCAAGCTGTCTTTTTCTATCCTGTGCGTACAGACAAAGAGGGAACGAGGTAGAGGTCAACTCTACCGGACACTTTTTGAAAGCTTTCATATGAATACCACCCATATAGGGATCGCGTAGTCCATACTATGGCCGGTATTCATAGGCCGGTATTCATAGTCGGTTCTTATATTTAAGACCATCTTAAGTACAATCTTAAGATGTCATTAACCAATCACAGAGCCGTATTAGCATCTTAAGATATTACTTAAGACGGTTTTGAAATAAGATCTGATTATGAATACCGGCCATAGTCTTCAAGATCGTCTTAAGTAATGTCTCAAAACGCTAATACGACTTTGTGATTGGATCATGACATCTTAACCCTTCATCCCACTAGGTGGGTCGTTTTTGTCCGGGCGAAAATCAAATGTAGTTGTAACTTTTGAAAACGGGTAGAGAGGGCGCCACTGCGCATCCGTAAAAAAAGTTATGCTCCCCGAGAACCCGCCTATACCGAGTTTCAAGGCGCCAGACCCCCTCCAGCCGTCACAGGAGACATGTAATTCTTGAAAAAACGAGGTTGGCGGCGAACACTTAAGCACTTCATTTCAAAATAATTGCATGCAATATTTTTTTATGAAAGGTACGTTTTTCCCCTTCAATTTCTTTTTTTATTCATTTCGATATCTTTATTTGTCTTAAAGTTATGATTTTTTGAGTAAAAAATGATTTTACAAGTTGTAGTTGTAGTTGCTCCATTTTTTAAATACAAATTATGTGAAAAAATTAAATTGTTTATAATTTTATGATTGATACTTCAAATTGAAGGTTTGAATTACCTCCATGAATTTTTTCAGATTTTTTGTAACACTACACTTAAAAAAAAACGTCAGGACGAAAACGACCCACCTATGCGGCGTAAAGGTGCCAAAAAAACCTAGTGGGATGAAGGGTTGATTGAACTTAAGACGGTCTTAAATAACTATGAATACCGGCCTATATGTCGATGGGACGCATTTTCCGACGCGCCGCCTGAGGCTGCGGTCCACTTGACGCTACAAATGCTTTGAAGCGTTCTTCTTCTCCTTCTTTCTTCATTGAAAGAAAAGAGAAGAGGAATGCTTCGAAGCATTTGTAGCGTCACGTTGACCATAGCCTAGAACGTAGTTTTAGTGAAAAAAAATCGGATTTTTTAATTGTCTTTAAAACAAGTGTCTGAACCGTAAGTGTGACTGTGCAATGGCACCTGCGATATTTTTTTTCCATTGTTTTTATAATAATAACGGTGTTATTTGTTATCAGATGGGATCCCAGCAAACACGGAATACACCCAGTAAGCAACTTGCTATCAAATTGCTTACTGGGTGTATTGTGTGTTTGCTGGGATACAACCTGCGTAGCAGTAGTGAGTTTCGATGCAAATTACTGGAAAACGATAATGAAAATAATTACGGTGGTAATCTTTCTGAAAGTGAGGAGGATCATGTTTATATCCAGTCCGAGAACAGTGAATTTGAAATCTCCGATGAGGATGACGACAATATATATTCGCCCAACGTACGCGGACTAGTTCGGACGTGTTTCGAGTGTACACGCGGACGACACGTTTTAACGTGTTCGGACGTGTTCCGCCCGAACGAAAAAATTTTTTAAAGTATTGCGACTGATACTGTCTGCTTGCAATTGCCTTTTAGACTTCGCTACTCAACCGTACAGTAATCAAACAGTGAAAAACACTCAAACAGTAGTAAACTGGCCATAATTGTCCTCGGAATAGAGGCAGGCGCCAATTAAATTAAAGAAGCAAG